ACATATATTATATTTAAGTAAACCTATATTTGACCTCTTTATAATCGTGTTTATTGACTGTAAAATATTTTTTCATCATACTTTTTGAAGGTGAAGAATTGAAAAATCTACAAAAAGTCCACGGATATTCATCATATTCAAGGTCATAAAACTCTTGACTTAAATAATAAGCTGGTAATACTCCAAAAGTTTTCGAAACAAAGAAGATTTTAGTAATATTTATCAAACGATTATATAATTTTGAATAGATAAAAGTATTATTTTCATTTACGCCGCTTAATTCAACATTTAAATCTTTAATAATTAATTAAAATATATCTTTAATAAATACTAATGAATATTCATTTACCATTTGTATCTAAATAAGCACAGAGCACTTCGTTAGAAGTGAACGATCTACTGATAGATATTAACATTTTAGCATCATTTAACGTAACTTTAAATGGATATTTATATGCTGCAATCTCATAATCGAACTGTTTAATAAATTGAACTTTTGAGCAGATCTTCAAATCGTAGTTCTTGTTCTTTATAGTAATAACATATACATCTTTTCCACTAATTCTTAACAATAGTACCAGAAACATAAAACTCATTTTAGCGAAGATATCTATAAAGTATATTTTGCTATTAGATTATTATTATAATGTTATTTAACTAATTATTCAAAATTTCTCACACGGTCTCGTCCTTTTATAACATTTCAGACAAAATCCTACATCTGTTGTTTTATTGATGGTTAAACTGCTAAAGGAAAGAAACAACGGACGTTAGACTTTCTATTTTGTTTTATAATTGCCGAAATTCTTACAAATGATAGGCTATTGGAGAAAGTTGGATGGATACGTATGAAGTTACGTGTTCGGAAAGTTTACATGGATTTTGGATAGAATGAATATTATCATATCCCATATCATAACATAAATTATTCCTCGAAGAGCTATTTATTAGTAAAGAATAAGAAGAAAAATTCACAATATACGAAATATTGGTCGAAGTATTGAAATAGTTTAATAAACCATAAATGTAATTTTCGCCATCCTTATAAATATTCATAAAAGGTTTACTCCTATATTCTGTTAAGAAATCTCCATATATTTGCATATTATCAACTGCAAAAGATAATAGTTAAATATTTTACTAACCATAGTTACTGTCGCATTTATAATTTGGAATATAGATAAAATTGTCAGATATTCTCGAAAGTTCTCTTGGACTGTAATAGTTTAATGAACAGCCAAGTAATTTTCCCTCTAGATGGACAGTTAGGCAATCTTGTAATGATATAACCTAAAAAATAGTTAAAAGATAGGCAAACTCTAATAGAAAAAATCCTTGAATACTGACTTGTTTAGTAGATGAATTACTAAGACGATAGGAGCTACTTCTTGGTTGAACGTTATCGGATATATTATAAATTGACAAGCATATAAACTCTGACGGGAAAAAGTCCTTATCGTTATTACCACTGAAATATGGCGGAATTAATCCATAAGTTTTCGATATAAAGTATAATTCCGTTATATTTTCTAAATAACCATACAACTTAGAGAATATATAGTTATTAGCCGGATTAGAGCCTAATCTTTCAATTGTTAAATCTAAAAATAGAAACATAAGAGATGAATAAATTTTACCTTTTAGTAAATAATATATTACCATTCAAATTGAAATAGCTACAGGTTAATTGTTTAGTTTTATTAAGTAGAACACTACTGATAATCATCTTATCTTGAGAATAATTTACAGAATAATTTCCGTTCGTATGATTTATTTTAAATGTTCTCCTCTTGACAAACTCTACCTTTTGACAAACTTCACTAAGACTTATATTCGAGTCTACTATCTGTTTTATTATTCCAGATGATTTTAGATATAGACGATATAGAATTTCATCTAGTTCTATAGCAAATATATCTGTAGGGAAAGATGTATCTCTATAAGAATTTCTCTATTAGATGAATAGTTATCTTCTCCTTACAATCGGCATTCAATTTATAACATTTTAGACAAAATCCATCGCTATTGATAGAGGAAGATGCTACTCTAAAAAGTGTAGATATTGATATATTCGTGTGTTTCTTTAATTTTTGAATTTAAGGAAACTACTACAATTGAAAAGTATCTTCTTTCAATTCAACCATGCTGTTTCCTCTCCTCGAATCAGTTATAAGACATGGATTAGAGATTGAATGTATGGTATCAAAGCCAGCTTTTCCGCACAGTTTATTATTATTTAACGAATCAAAATCATAACTTTTAAAGCGAACAGGAAACGTTTCATTAGATAATGTAATTGAAATTAGGCCATATACGCTAGTAGTCGTTTCTTTGTATATTTGTATAAACATTTGTACATCATCAGAAAGTATACGACTCTTATTAGCTTTATTTAAAACTATTAAAGTTTGTACTAAGAATAGATAAGTAATAGAAAATAGTTGAAAGGTTGTATTCATCATTAAAGATTAACAAATTGTGAAAAAAGTACGAAAAAGAGTTAAACGACTCTTCTTCGTATGATAAATATTGATATAAAATCATAAAAAAACACTTTGTATACGGTTACTCAAATTAATTAATGTTGTAAAATGAAAAGAATCATGTTTATTAGTATTTAGAAGAGAAGAATTTTTATATGATCCACTTTTTAATGTCTCATTATAATAAATATATTGAAAAATGGGAATTTATGATTTAGAATGTAGATATAACATTGTTTTCTTTCTTAATACCGTTTTGACAAAATATCCAATAGCGTATACATCCTCTTTCTCTTTCTTTTTGTCCAAAATTGAGAAATTTGGCCATGAAACGTAATATTTCCCCTTCAATTGTCATATTATTCAACATGGAAAGAGAATAATAGATAATAAACTAACCGCATACATTATATTCTCCTCATTCAATTGACCTTTGAATGATAATGAATATTGATGAATGAACTGGCAAGCATTCAACACTTGTCTTATACAAATTAAATATTCCGAATTCATAAAGAAAGGTTTCGTTATCTCTAAAGAGAATTCATTTTTAAGATCATTCTCCCAAAGGGAAACGTTATTTGCATTGAAATCTCTTAAATATGCAAAGACTATAGAAAGAGAAACAAAAATGAGTAAGTTATAAAGGAAACTAGTAATAATCACAATTTCTATATAATTTCATTTTTGTATTCTCTGCTAAAACCTTTTCTCTGTTTAGTGTTGAGACTTTTTTCATTTCTGAAATGTCTAATCCAGTTAGAATGGAGAGAATTAAAGGATTTACAAATGAATAGAAAGGACCCATAAATACGAATATTAATTTATTGTTTATGTAGTATGAAAGTTGCATTATTGATGATAAAAGACCTAATAGGAAGACCAAAAACCAACAAAAGAATCCAACTAGTAATGCTAGCTTGAACAGATTGCTAAATTGACGCAAGCTGTCTATTTTTAGATTAGATGTCTCTTTTTTTCTCATTCTCTTCGATATAATCAAAGATAGGAAAAGAGTTGTTACACTAAAAGCCAGATTAAAGGTGGAGAAGATAAAAAACGATTGATTTTCTCTCTCAGTCTCTTCTTTTACAAATATTGAATTTTGACAAATTGAAGAACCTGAATCGAATTTCTATCAAACAACAGTATATGTATACATGTAAATTCAATCTTTGAAACAACCTGTAAAAAGAGGGAAAAGAAGAATCCAAGAAGAAAGGAACAACCAAAGGTCAAGAGGGAAAATGGAATTATGTCAGATGTGAATTTTGATTGAATATTCGGATTTGAACAGGTGTTATAATATCGTTCAAGCGTAAATAATAAATAACTAGAATTTGATAGGAAGAGTGAAAATATCATTAAAAATCGTATCAATAAACATAGATAGCCTTCCATTAATTGTGCCTCATTTTCTAAGTAGGCCTCTTTAAAATATCCATCAATAAATGCAATAATAAATGAGCAAGAGGAAGTTAATAGATGTCCAATAGAAATAGACATTTTATAGTAACTGTTTGATTTATTACCAACTTGAAAAAGTAGAAACAAAGATAAAGAATTCGTTAATAATCCAATTAATCCTAAAGCCCAGAATATTAGCTTAAATACAATTGTATTCAATAGATTTGAACAGTTATCATTCATATATAAAAGTTGAGGAGTACAGGTAAAACGATCGCCAAAATAGTTGAATATAAAACAACATAGTTTCAATTTACTGCCAAAAAGTTTATCAAGTTTTTTCAACTGTAAAATTTTATGAAATATCCGAATTGTAGAGAATTTTGTATTATTTAAATGCAGTTCATTTAAATTCTTTAGCCATTTTGATAAAATATTATGAATATTTCTTATATAACAATTGTTTAATTTAAGAATTTTTAAATATTTCAACTTTACAAAGGTATTTCTATTAATCCGTGATATCTTTGAAGAAGATAAATCAATATAAATTAGATTGGGAGAGTTTATTATCAATGAAAGATTAAAGGATATTAAAGAATTAAAAGAAATATCTATATATTGTAAAAGAGGTAATGAATGTTTTCTTAAAATATCCAGATTAGTTAGATTATCTCTCTTTAAATTTAAATAAACAAGATTAGGAGCATAGATTGATGATTTTGATGTTAAATCGTTGCTCTCAATACGTAATACAATCAACGAATACATTGTTTTTATAGAAACAATCTCTATTCTTCCAATTAGAGTAATTTTTGAAAAGCTTTCATTCATATAGAACGTAAAATTATCATTTTCGTTCAACGTTATATCATTAGCTTTCCTAATACAATAAATATCAAAAGGATACGATTCGTAACAATGTACTCTACGAATTTTTGGAATATTACAAAATATTTCGTCACTTCCTTCCCTACAATCTATTTTTCCATCACATATTTTACTGTTGGTAAGAAACAATCTCTCATTTCTACATTTAAAATAACCTTTCGGTAGAAATGTATCTGAAAATTTCATGCGAAAAAGAGGATTAATTTAAATAGGAAAAAGTTATGATAAACCGCAATTCTGTTCATCATCCTGATGTAAACAATGATTAACACCGTCGCAAACAAATTGAATAGAGATACAATACTCTTCGGATTGGCATAGATACTTTCCAATACCGCAATTTATCTTTTTATCTCCAACCTTTCTCTTTATATAAGGAATAGGAGTTTTCAGATTTTCTATAGTATCATACATCATAAGATCCTTCTTCTTAGAAGGGTAACTGTGCCATAATTTTAAATTTCTCTTGTATTCAAATGCGTTGACTTCTCTATCCGATTTATCCTTACAACTATACTTTCCATCGCACAAGAAAGCTAATGGTAAACAATGACCATCGCAACTAAATTGTCTATTCTCATTGCATCCTTTACAATAGTTTATTGTTTGTTTAAGTAATTTAATAAGAAATAAGAATAACCTATTTTTACCCGATTGATATCCTTCGTAAATACTGATATTAGAATTGCATAGTTCATCACTTTCATCAAAGCAGTTTCTCTCATTATTACAAATATCTTCAAACTTGATACATTGATGATTATTACATTGAAATCTTTAGGAGAGATGATAATCTTAATTAGATTTAATTAAATTCATGCCTTCTACCTGGAACTTTCAATGCAGGTTTGATGCTCTAAAAGTGTATAAATAACGTATAAATCAATTTTACTTGTTGACTAGTGTTACCGCAATATAATTCGTCCGATTTATCTGGACAGTCTTCAATAAAATTACAGACCAGGGTGTAGCTAATCTTTTCAATAGAATTAAGACATTGAAACCTTTCGAATGTTAATATTGTACAATTATTCTCATCTCCTCCCGATGGACAATCTATCTTTCCATCGCAAACGTAGGCAACATTGATACAAATATGATCGTTTGGACAGAGAAAACCACTTTCCTTGCATCTATAACTTTCAATATCATTAATAGAAATTCCAAAATATTCCGAACGTTTTACAACTTAAGATACAAGACATTTCATTAATTATTAAAAAGATAAGAAACCTTTTACAAACGATAAGTTTGTTGACAGATATATGTTTTTACAATAGGTTTTGAACACCGAACCATTGTTGAAGATATAGATGGTATATATCTATGTTTGCCCTTTTAGATGATTGATAAGAAATTATATTAATAAATTGTATTAAAATGAAAAAATGAACTTTACTTTTCTATAAAAATTGAACGACATACAATCATTCTCATTTTCAGAATAAACTTCTCTTCTCCAAAAGTCAACAGTATTAACGCATGATTCGTAAGTTTCTATATTCCAAAAATACGAACTAGGATAGTTACCAACAGTAACTAACCTTCTTATATTTCTATCATTAGTCTTTTCGATCAAAGCTAATTGAGAAGACATTATTAGTATTTCCTCTAAGCTGGACTATACAATAAAAGAGCATACGATGAGGTACAAACCAATTTTCTAAAGAGATACCTTTGAACCTTAGTTTATACTTGCTTAAGAAGAGTATTGACAAAATAAAGACTTTATCAAAACTTGGAAAGTCTGCTAAGGTTTGATTTTTTGTTAAACAAAGGTTATTCAACAGAGTAGGGGAGACGTTAGTTTGTAAATCGTGTAGATAATAGCATACGTTATTTATAACTGGTACATTCTTTCTCAAGCATTGAACTGTAAATTTACATATAATAAGAACAATCCTCTTGCTTTTAGTTATTTAACTACAATCATGCTTATCATTTGAACATTCAATGCCGATGGAATTGACTAGGCCTGAATATGATGTATCTTGATGTATATATCCATAATAGCTATTAAAGAAAACGATGATATTTTACAGTTTTTTTTACTTAATCCATAGCCTACTGGAAACTGTATCTGCAAACTTTAATGTTAGTAACATTTCCTTGACATGTAACCTCTCCAAACATGGAATTGAATGGAATATTTTGTTTAAAGCGTCGTACCGTTCCATGATTAAAGCCGAAATATGAGCAAACAAGTGTTAAATCATAATAATTTAAAACGACTATATTAATCCATTTATATTCAATTTTCTTTTGAAACATTCCTATAAAACTATTAAACGAATGATTTTTACCGAAAATAGTATTTTCAGAGGTTTTAAGTCTGAAAATATTATCTAAAAACAATCTATGATTAAAGATAGAATTTAAGAAATTTAGAGACTAAAGATACTTGATTTATCGCAATGAATTGTCGGTATATTTAAATTTAGATTAGGTGAATTGTGTTCCAACTTGAAGTTGTGAGGTAAGAAATTGGAATATTTTATACTTTTAATGTAAAATAGCTGAAAAGAAAGAGAGAATTATAGCTCTGGGTAATGATAGTATAAAACTGCTAGTTTACTTGGTGTGTTCTTTTCAAATTAATTGAATAAAACGAAATACAATTTGACAATTGATGCATAGAATACTGAATATACTTTTCATGACGAAGAGGTAACCCTTTCCTCAAGAACAAGGGAATAATCCCCATTCTTTTCGATGTGATAAAGATATTGCTATATTTTGCCAGACTACTATAAGCTGTTAAAAAAGCGTAAGTGTTAACCGAATTCATTCCAACCACTTCTAACTTTATATCTGTTTTATCAAATGTTGATAATAGATATCTATTAAACATAAATAAATAAACAAACAAACAAACAAACCATGAAGATATGTATGAGGACAAATTATTTCACGCCTCTGTTCCCTGTGAAAACTCTGAGCCATTACCGTAGTATGATTATCAATAAGTAATTGATAAGATATTTCAGAAGATATAGACAAATTAAAGTGTTCGGCGATGATGAATTGTACTTTATTGCATAAGGCTTCTGTTATTTCGTACTTACCAAAGACAGTATAACTTTTCATGTCTTTCCGAAAATATAGTCTATCTGATTCGTATGATAGCATAGCAAATAAATCTATATACACAGTATATCAAGTTATTTAACGTTACATTACACAATCAACTGTATACATTACACGAAACTTTCTTATAACACTTTAAGCATAAACCTTTTCTTGTTGAATTGTTAACGAGGAAGCTGTTTTTTTTATGGATAAATTATCTATATAATATGAATATAAACTATATTATTAATTTAATAGTTTTGTACAATTTATAAGAGTTTTCGGAAAATTGAATGATTGAAAATGATTGAACAGATTCATTCACTCTGCAAGCTAATGATAAATGAAATAAGTAATCGTATCCTAAATCTTGGCAAATGTTATTATAATGTGAATTGTTTTGATATAAATCTGCTGCTATAAATTCAACAATTAAAGATATATTTGATGATTTAATACGTATATTCAATAATCCGTAAGAGTAATATTTAGTATTCTCATAAATATTCATAAATGGCTTTATATCGTCGTTATTAATTTCAACTGTATTTTATAGTAGTATAGTCATTGCAATTATCTTAGCCAATAGAATGCTTATTACCAAGATTATAATCGCTGCATTTATATTTAGGAATGAAAATGTTTCTTTCCGTTATATGTTCAATTTTTTCAATGATAGATGAATAGCAACCGAAATATTTATCCAAGTGATAAAGATAAGAGCACCCCCTCAAAAACACAACCTATAATTACAGAAACACTATAAATCATTAAATAGTAATAATAGATAATAACTCTTTGTTGATTGTCTTTGGAAAATGTATATGAAACAATGTTGGTTTCATCCAATCCAATCTTCTTTATTAATAAACGACATATTAATTGGGATGGAGAGAACGATTGCATCGTTTTATAATCTAAATAAACTGGTATTACACCATAAGTTTTAGAATAGATGTATATGTCAGTATAGTTCATTAAGTAGTAATATAATTTCGAAAATATCAATGTATTAATTGGATTTAAGCCGAATTTTTCAATCTTTATATCTTATATAAAAAGTGTAGCAATAAAAAACTATGATATATATTAGCAATTAAACAAATTAACATACCATTTAAATCGGAATAACTGCATTTTAAATGAACTTTTGGCAATTTCAATACAAAAGAAACGTATATTTTTTCATTAAGAAGATTTACAGTAACATATCTACTGATATTCTTCAAGTTTTGCGGAGTATTATGTAAAATAAATTCTGATTTTTTACATATCTCTCCTCCACTTATCGATGACTCAGCAATTTTGTATAGAATATCATTGTCTTTCAAGTATAAATGATAACTATTGTCTAATATTCTACCAGCAAAGATATCTGTTGAATTGGAAATATATTAAACTCTCTTACTCTCTCTCTCTCTCTGTCTCCTCTCAATTTCTTACAAGATACTCCTAACTTATAGCATTTTAAACAGAATCCATCCATTTCCGCTGATTCATTCGACGATCTTTTATTTCTGTTATTTGTTTTTTAATTTGAAATATTAGAATATAAAAAAAATGAACAAAACATACAAATTGAATACGAAATCATCTTGAACTGTAAATATATTTCCATATTTTGATTGATCTAAAGAACAAGGACTTGAAATTGAATGTATAGAATCATAGCCAACATTAGAGCATAGTTTATTTTTCAGCAAAGATCTCAAATCAGTAAAAGCTATAGGAAACGATGTGTTTAAAAGAGATAGTGTTATATAAATTAACCCATAAGCTGTAATATTGGTTTCGTGATAAACATCTAAAGACAAGGTTACATCTCTACCAAAATGAAGCATATCCTTAAAATGGCAATCTTGAATAAAAATAATGCCTATACTAATCAATTGAATATCTAAATATTTCAAAGGCATTGCTACTTTTCTCTATCGAAATCTCATTAAAAACTAGTTAGAAAACAATAGGAAATCACTTGAACAAACGCGATATTTCAATACAAAGAAGGCATATAAAATTTATTCAAGTCGTGATAAATATGAAAAATTAATAGTGTAACTTAGTTGCATGTACAATAGCTCGAATTTCTCCCATTCTTTCGCTTCGCTATATCTGGACACAATGCTTTCGTGCCTCACTATGAAGCCTTCGAACATATTGGGCTCTCCTTCGAACATAATTGGAGTGCTTGGGATCATACTCTTTCTTCTATCGTACCTTCTGACCATCAGGGCCTTCAGCCATTCGTCACTTTCTTGCTTCGTCAGCATGCACGTTTCTTGCTCGCTTATCACTCTTGCTGCTTGAGCCTCTAGTCTTCTCATTTTCTTCTGGACCATCTCCAGTTGCTCACTTAGTTTGTTACTCATCTCTGCTTTTATGCTTTCTACCCTACTATTTATAGTAGCTTTCATCAACCTGGTCAATTGATAGTCTCTTGCTTCCAGTGCTGCTTCTCGGATGGCTTCCAGCTCTTGCCTTAACAGGTTCTCTTTTTTCATTTGTTTGACTTCAAACTGAGCTGTTTCTTCTTTTCTCACTCTTCTTTCCATTTCTATCATTTTGCCCAATTAGGCCAGCATATTTTCCTTTTCTTCCATCCACCATTCTTCCCTATTTGTGTCTAATGGAAGAATATCATCCCTTTTTGGGGTGGTGTTAACTTCATCAGCGTCACTCTCGTACTAAATCGTACTGCAGGTCTCTCGCAAACCTTTTCTGTAGGCCCTCTAATCTTTTGTATGGCATGTACCTATTGCATTTTAACTCCTTCTCTTCCCCCATTGAACAGGATAGGTGCATACACCTTTCCGTCCTTGAAGGTTATATTTTCTTCTAATTCTTCTACCCATCTTTTATCTCTTAAGGTTAGCTTTTGTTCTCTTGAGCTTTCCCTCTTTAATATCAACAATATTCTTGCCTGCCGCCCTTTTTCTACCCTTTGTCCCGTTATCGACCATCCTAACTTAGAAAGTATGACGGTTGGCTCGTCCACATCTCCTTCCAGTATTATCCTGGGTGCTATCATGTCTATGTAGTCACACCCTATCAACAGGTCTACTTGTCGATTTCTCAGTTCTGGAATAGGGATGTCTTTTAGATATGGCCTTCTCGTTTTCGAAGGCATTGCTACTTTTCTCTATCGAAATTTCATTAAAAACTAGTTAGAAAACAATAGGAAATCACTTGAACAAACGTGATATTCAATACAAAGAATGCATATAAAATTTATTCAAGTGATAAATATGCAAAATTGATAGTATCTTAATTAAAGGAAGATTGTATTCTTCTTCAATATATCTTTGTCATGTTGATATTTTCTTGAACTTTGCACTATTTATTTCTTCTGAATTTAAGAACCAAAAAAATAATAAAGTTTGTTACTACACTTATTGGCCAAACTACTGTAATACCAATAAGATAGTTTCTATATCCTGAAACGCCATATCTAAGAGATAAAGAAAAATATTCAATAATGAATCATTAGATAATATTATTAAATTATTAGACATACGTTTCTTGTACCATATCAGCCGGACACAAATCCAAACCGTATTTCGTTCTATCTTGTACAGTAAGATAGTGAACACCTATAATTAATATCCACGTGTATGGATATATTTGAAAGGGGATTAAAAGAAGCAACGGTGTCAGATAATCACCAATAACCAAAACTATTTGAACAAGAAGAACGTAGCCAAAAACTCCATATACTATATAAATGAATATTAACGGATCGCTTACACTTTGAAAATGAAAGAAACACATTATATATAACTTATAATCAAAGAGTATTATAATTGTAATTATACGGTCTATTATATTCTGTAATTAGGCAAATATCGTCGGGAACAACATACAATTCGATTACAGTATTATTTAAAGTATATTTAAAAGGAACTTGATAATATTGCAGTTTTCCATCGATAGTTTTTCTATTATATTCTTGAATTTTGACAAAGCTTTGCGTTCTTATTAAAACGTAACAAGACGGACCCAGAATAAATAGTACTATCATAGATAAAATTACTATGGCAATATATGTATATCTCATATTTTCTAGTAAGAGCATTAAAAAGAAGAATCTCTTTATCAATATCCTTAAGATATTGTCTTCAATATTGAAAGAGAATTTAATCCATACCTGTCTGTAATTGTAAATAAGAAAGAATAGCAAAGTATCGTAGGTAGGTAAAGAGAGAGCCGGTAGGCCTTTATCAAAAGCCTAAGAGTAATATTAAGAATTCACTTAATATTTTATATTATTATCTAGCACCGGCGCCGTTTTCGAATTTAACAAATGTATTTATTAACTTCCTCTCTCGTTTAACTGATGTAAACTTTGTCTGAAATGTCCTACTATATAACCAGATGGAGAGTAATTAATTAAATGTTAAATAAATCTGTTATAGAACTTGAAAAATCAAGTTTAATTGTTTCAACGTAAAACATAGCAAAGTGGAGATTTCAATACGCTATATCATTCATTCGTGTGACTAAGAAACTGTATTGTTCAACAAATTTCCTACTCGTCTTCACTTTAATAAATCGACCATATGGATTTGAATCTTATTACTTTTTAATACAGTCTTTTCAATAGCTAAATTCAGAGATAGTATTGAAGGTGATATTTTATGTTTTGCGCATCAATGAAAAGAAAGAAAGCAGCTATTTTTCATATATAGTAGATATAGTATATACCTGCATATATAAGATATTTCCAAGTTGTATAGTTATTTTCGTACGATAAAAATACTTCCTTAGTTAATAAATAAAGTTTCTTTGTACTACTAAACAGTATCCTACTCAATAAACTATCAACTTTCCCCCATCAAAGAGAGATTAATCCGGTAAGAATGTCTGTTGAAGAAGAAATTACCTTTATCTATTATAAATCTCAAATTGAAACCCTACTGGAGGATGGTAATATGATAGAATCATTCTCAAACTTTGGATTTGAACCGGATAATGCGGAATCTCATATTGAAAGTATGACTGGTTTACCAACAATTCAATCTATGGAGGAAAATTTTAATAAACAATCTCTTAATCGTATAATAACTATCCTGAAAGATTTGAAGAGTGAAAGATCAATTGAACTGGTAAAAAATCTAGAAGAACCAAATTTCACTTGGAATCGTCTAGTTCAACATGTAAAGAATAAGAGAAAAGAGGATATATTGCAAACTGACTCATATAGCAATATGAACTTGAGCGAAATGAATAATACTATTGAATTATTTAAATTAGCTGATAAAGATAAGATTCATGATGTTAATTGTATAAATTATTCAAATTTTCATGAATTATTTAACAAAGGATTTAATAAAATTTTAGTTCAAGGTGACCCTGGAATAGGAAAAACAATTCAAATAAGAAGTCTCATTTCCTCTTGGTATAATGATGAATGGAACGAAAATTTAAATACATTAGTCCTACTTATTTCACTGGACTATATACAACCTTTTGTTGACATTATTGATGTAATACTAAAGCAGAACTTTCTCAACATTCCCTATATTAATAGACGTATAGTAGAGCTTCTCTTGACGGAGAAAAGTAAAAATGTACTACTTTTTATCGATGGAGCCGAAAAACTTCGCGTTGTTTCCAAGTCAATAGACGATATACTGGAAAAGGCTAATTGCCCTGTTCAAACAGTTATTTGGTCAAATAAACGAAGAGCGAAACAAATTGCGGATACATGCGACGTAATTTTTGAATTGAATGGTCTAAACTTGAATCAGTTAGATAAACTATTGAATCATTACTACAAAAATAAAGATTCTCTTATAGCCGACTTTACAAAAGCGATTTCTCAACAAAACTCTCAAATTATTACAGATTTATGTAAAATTCCAGAATTTTCCTTAAATCTCTTTCAAGTTTGGATGAAAGATATGATATTATTTACAAAGAATACATTCGAAATATTAGAAGAGATAATCAATACTTCACAAAATGGAAAGGTATATAGTATTAAATTTTCCAAATCTTCTACTAAACTCATTGAAAAGTCTTGTTTTAAAATGTTAACTAAAGATAAATTAACTTTATCAACAAGATCAATAGATAAGAGGATCATTTTAAACTATTTTAAGGGTTTAGCTCATATTGATATTGAATCGGACATAAATTTTGGTCAAGTAACATTTCTTCATCAGTCGATTAAAGAATATTTTGCGTCAAAATTTTTAATACGTACATTGGAAAACTTCAATTTATGTTGCCTTAGAAATAGAGATGTATATTTGGATTTATTATTTGAAAATGACTATTCAACATCATTCAATATATTGAATTTTATTAGACAATATTCAAGACAATTATTTCAAGATATTGTTTATAGATCGGAGAAATTTCAAATATTCTCCAAGTTTAGTAACAATTTTATGAATTTAATTGATAAGGAGTTGAAGGATAAAACACTTTTACAGTTACAAGATGAATGGTTAAACGACGCTGCCGTCTCTATTCTATTTGAGAAAAAAGGAATGTACTTAAATGAAATAATCTTTAAAAATATACAATTAAATCTAAATACGATAATCCAAACAATTAGCAGACATTGTCCTAGTTTGAGAAATCTTTATTTAGATAATCAAGGCGACAATAACAATAACAATGGCAATAGAACTATATCTATGGAGCACATCATTACTCTAATTAAATCAATACCAATCGAGAATATATCGCTAGATGGAACTTTCTTCGAAATAATTAAAACAAACGTCCAATCAAGTTTGTCAAATAAACTCTATATATCCGATTTAAGGATGATTAACGAATCTCATTCTAAGAAAGTCATTATCTACGTAACGTTTGGATCAATTTATATGAAAACTTTTATAGACGAATGTCGAAATTATTCATTATTTAGAATTAATAATTGGTTGAATTTTTTGGAAACTTGCCAATCAATTAATTCGTTTATACTAAAACATAAAACTATTACTAAAAGAATATACGAACAACTATTGGATTTATTTATTAAATGGAAAGAATGTAATATTACACCGGATGTAAATTTGGAGAATTTTTCCATTGAATTAAACAATGAAGATCTCTATAATAACGTTGATTCTAAGGGAATTAATGATGATTATCTTAATGAAAAAACACTACCTTTTAACGATATGGAATTGAATATTTGTTCAACTGTACAAATACTTCAATTTTCAAGAATTAATAAAGATATTATTCAACATCTCATTCAAAATAATCCTTATATTTCATCACTAGAATTTAACGGACTTTTCTATATGCTTAATCAACATTTAGTTGGTCAAAGAAATCTTCGTATCGAAGAGTTTCTCTTCGGTCATAGACCTATAAAATTTCTTAAGGATTACTTAATAAATCGCTCAATAGTCGAAAAACTTTCATTCGAAAAGACAAACTTTTGTAATCATTTTTTAAAAAATGAAATTATTGAACAAACTACCATCTTTAAACATCTTAAAATTCTTGAAATAAATGACTGTAATCTCTCTCAAAATCAAGCAACGCTTATTGGATATTGTCTTCAACTGTGTAGACATATTGAAACACTCTCTTTACAGTCAAACAGTCGTATGGATAAAGGATTTATAGATATATGCAATGGATTAGAAAGGGTTAAGACCTCGATAAAAAATCTTAATTTTGATTTCTGCTATTTGAACGAAAGTCAATCAAGACATTTAGGTAATTGCCTTCTTACTGGATTAAATATTGAAGATCTTTCCTTAAAAGCCAATCAAAATATGAATAAAGCGTTCAATACAATTTGTGAAGGTCTTATGAAATCGGTATGCACTTTAAAGAGATTAAATTTAGATGACTGTTACCTGAAAGATAATGATCTTGTTCAATTTAAAGAATTATCATTGATGCTTTCAAATATTGAAATACTTTCATTAAAGGGTAATAGAGGAATGAAGAATTCTCTAGACAACATTTGTACTGGATTGACAAAATCGTCCAGTACACTCAAAAGCTTAAATATGGCTCATTGGAATTTGAATTGCGATGAATCGAAGAAATTAGCCAAATGTTTAGGAGATTGTCTCACTTTAGAAGCATTATCTGTAGAAGGGAATGAACATATGAAATATGGATTGAACGTTTTAAGTAACAACGTTAAAAATTCTTGTTCTTTCATAAAGTGTTTAAACTTTGACAATTGTAATTTAACGGAAGTTCAAGTAGTAAGTTTGGCAGAATGTCTAGCAGTTTGCTCAGATATTGTTGAGTTATCTTTCAAAGGAAATAAGAACATTCTTAACGGATTTATAAAAGTTTCTACAAGGATGTCTATTTCTCTTCCAAATCTTCAAATTCTTTATCTAGATAATTGCTCTTTGATCGATAGACAGTTGGAATATCTAGGAAAATTATTGGTAACTAGTTCAAATATTGAAATTCTATCTTTAGCTGGTAACAAGGGAATGAAAAATGGATTTAATCATATCTGCGAAGGATTAAAGAGGTCTGTTTCAAAAATAAAACATCTCAATTTCGATGATTGCGCTTTGACAAAAGTTGACCTAGTTTCTCTTAGTGAACTCTTAAGTCTCTGTTCACAAGTTGAAATACTCTCTCTAAGTTTGAATAAAGGAATGAAAGATGAATTTAATACGATATTAACCGAATTGAATAGGTCGATAGAACAACTAAAGAAGCTTTTCTTCAACGAATGCGATATAGACGAAAGCCAAGCAAAAGCGTTAGCAAACTCCCTTCAGATCTCTTCCAAAATTAGTACATTATCTTTAAAAAGAAATCCAAATATGGGAGTAGGATTTTACAATCTTTGCAAAGGCCTAGGCAGCTCTTCATACAATATAATAGACGTTTATTTGGATGAATGTAATTTGGACGAAAGTCAGGCTATATCTTTTGGTAATTGTTTACGTTTTTGTTCAAATTTAAAGGTTCTATCGTTAAACGGAAATGAGCATATGAAAGGTGGATTTAAGAGTATTTGTACCGGTTTACAAAGTTCGCGCAATTGTTTCAAAGTAATCTATTTAGAATATTGCAACTTGAATGGTAATCAGGTCAAATGTTTTGGAGAATTTCTAAAAGTCTGTTCATATGTTCAATTGTTATCAATGAAAGGAAATGAGAATATTGGAGAAGGATTTGCAGATATTTGTGAGGGTATTATTAATTCCGCCAATTGTCTTAAAAGTCTTAACTTTGACGATTGCTCTCTGAATGAACATCAGGCCAAATATTTGGAAGAATCTTTGAATGTTCTCCATTATATTGAAAGTTTTTCTATTCGAGGAAATAATGAAATAGGTCGTAAATTTAAAGCAATTAGTAAATCATTTGAGATATCCAGAAGACAAGAAACAAATGCAAATGGTAATAGTTATCCTATTTCTCAAGAACAAGTTATCTCTGTAGGAGAGATAGATCAGACATTATCGAATATCTAAAAAAATGACTTTTGAGAAGTAGTAGCGTCTAGTCCGGAGGAGGGAGTTAAATGAAATGAAGCCCCACCTTCAACGGAAGTAGAATAGGCATCAATTGTGTCCTTAAAAGAAGCCTATACCTCTAATTCGATAGATGAAAATTATAGACTCATTCCTGAAGATGAATGAAGAAAAAAATCATCCAACGCCACCGTTACAATCATAATTGTCAAATAAACAAGTTTTATTAGCAATAGAAAAGAGGTAATGACAATTAAGTAAATGAAACTATGTTCTACGGTGGGTTATGAATGTTTTTTTTGTCATATTTTGTTTAAATGCGTTTGTTAGCCTTTGAGAAAAGAACTTTCTTTTGATAAATCATTTTTAAAAATTGTCCCAAATATAAGATATCATTCTTCCCTTTATCTTCATTATACCTTGTAAAATTATTCCATAGAATGACGTAATCGTTAATTGATTGCTGTAGTTATTGATAAATTATACAATTTTGTTTTAGTATAGATATAGGACATACAATAGATAGATAAGAATAGTAACCTGAAGAAAAATACTATTTATAGTTAATTCTTTATTAATACAAAAGTGATTTTGATGGCAGAAACTATAGATATTTGCTATAGATTTGATACATTTTAAATCTTGATGAGTTTGAAAGAATTTCAAATTAATTTCAATAGTTTTCAATTGAATAGCATCTTCCAAGACTAATAGATTATTCCTCTGACATTTTCTTATTGATAGAAGTACTGTATACAAAAGAAGAAGGTACTATTATCGCGTATACATTATGAATTTACAATAATAGACCTTCCATAATTGACTTTTCTTCAATACTTTGAATTAATTTACCTCTATTAATTAAATAGATAATTAGTTAGTTAGAATATTTAATAAAAGTAATAAATAGATAGTTAATGATAACAATTTCTCTTTTCTTTTTTTCTTTGATTCTTGAACAAGATTAATCATTTCACTTGATGAATAGATCATCGGATTTAAAAGAGAGTTAACTTGTACTAATAAGACAAGACCGCTATATATATCGTCCTTGAAATATACTTGATTTAATATGGCTAAAATTCCTGTATACAGTATATAAATGTACAATATATACTGTATAAATATAAACATAAACGCTATTGGATACTAACCAATTACCGATAAAGGAAACCAACATAAAATGCTAGTGGCTATAATTAGAAATATACTATTTGTGATCTTATTCGTTTTCTTTTGATGACGACTGGTTTTGAATCTCTTGAACGATAGTCGTATACTCAAAAACATATCAATATAGTAAATTCCAATGATTATAGTAATAATAAACATTAATAATCCAAAGATAAGAAAGTTAAAGAGCCATCCTTTAGTTTTTTCGCTTCTAATATGAATGTTAAAACAAACTGGAGTTCTTTCGTAAGGATTCTAGTATATTAACTATTGTAATCTATGTATAAACTATTTATTCATCGACTAACCACATAGAGAATTAAAGGAGTACAACTAATTAGTAAGCATATTATTATTGATAATAAATTAATCCAAGGACTATACGACGCCACCTTCGAAGGTAGAAAAGGATTTTTAATACCAGCGTGTCTTTCTAAGGTAATCAACAAAAGGGAAAACGCCGAAAGTGTTAAAGCGAACGTCATAACCGTTCCAATTAATTGACACATAATGCTTTCCCGCCAAACGGTATCGTGTTCAAGATAATTCTCTCCAAAATATGAATCGGTAATTGCTATTATAAAAACGTATATTGACGTAAGACAATCGGCAATTGAAAGTGTTAATCTATAAACTCTTGAACTTTTCTTAGACAATAATACAATTAAGATAGAAAGTAAATTTCCAATAAATCCAACAATTCCAAAAAGCCAATAAATAATCCTTAAAAAGATTGAACTAAGAAGAGTTGAACAAGTAAAAAGTAACGATTTAGACGGTCTACATATTAAATTTTTGCCAAAATATTTCCAACCAAAACAGCAAAGTTTAAAACTTTCACTAAATATTTTTCTAATATTAAACAACTGTTTAACATTGATACTATCGGACATTTTATAATAATTCGATTTATTTAAATGAAGTTCAATTAATTTATTAAATATATTAAAAGATCCTTTTTCAATATATTTAATACTACAATAAGCTAATTTTAATATTTGTAAGTGTTTTAATGGTTTAAAATCATTTAATTGAATAATTGAAATTTCAGTATTAGATATATCCAATTGAATTAAATTTGAACTGTTCAAAAATCTCAAATCAGTAATGGTAGGAATAGGATTGAACGATACGTTTAAATATTGAAGAATTACTAGACTATTATCACCAAATATAGTCATAGTTTTCAAATTACTATTGACTATTGTTAGATGTATAAGATTTGGAAATTTATGAAATAGTATAGTATCTATATGATAATAGTATTGAATATGTAGGAAGAGTAAATTATAAATATTCTCTATTGGTACAAAATTGAATATTCTATGGAATGATATCATCTTTATATTCAATATATTTGTAAGATTATCAATAGTTTCCAAACTATTATCATCTATCAATTCACAATGAACATGTATAGAATTCAATAGTTTACAATGATTATTTCTAATATTTTCAATTTGACAAACGAATTCGTCACTTCCGGAAAGGCAACTAATCTCATTATCGCAAAGTTTACTAAGTGGAAGATAAAGATTCTGATTTCTACATTTAAAGAAACCGGATGGTATAAAGTTTTCTATAAATAACTTTAATAAATTATTAGATCATCATTTTAATATTTCTAACTAAATACCACAATCAAGTTCATCATCTCCATGGAAACAATGTGTAATTCCATCGCAAACATTCTCTATAGGCATGCAAAAGTAATCTAGTTTGCACAAGTATTCACCAATATTACATTCTTTTCTTTTACAATTATGTAGACTGTTATAAGGAGAATGAACTTTCGTAAGCAAATCTCCCATTGTATTGTATTTTAATTGGCAATTCTCATCTCGTATTGCCTCATCAAGCTTTGTTGAATGTGGCCGACAAATATCATCATGATAACAGTAACGAACTTCTATCTCTTGATTTATGCAATGAGCCTTCAAATCACATTGAAGATGTTTACTCAAACAGAGTCCGTCGCACAAAAATTGTTTATCCTCTCTGCATTCTTCGATATCGTTTCTTAATGTCTATCGAAAGAGTACTTTTTTACAACTAACTTTCATAAAAGCCTGGATGTATCGCTTCGCTAGTGGAGCATAGTTCATCGGATGAATCGAAGCAATTTCTTTCATTGTTGCAGATTGAAGAATTCGATATACATTGTCCACTTTTACATTGGCTGTTTGAATGACTATACAGTATATAAATGTATATTGTATACTTTTTAATAGCCATACATAAAATCTTCTGTACAATTCCTCTTCTCTGTTCAAGCAAATAACGGATATAAATCTTTTAACAGAAAATTTGAACAAACCGCAAAATATCTCGTCTGATTTATCCGCGCAGTCATTAAAATGATCGCAAACCAAATTTGAATTTATAGTTTGATTTTCATCATTCATGCACAGATAGCCAAATCCATAGAAATGTGTTGTTGAACAATTACTCTCATCTTCGGCAAGTGGACAATCATCTTTTCCATCGCAATAATAAATAATATTAATACAAATTTTATGATTGTGACAGAAAAATGTATTGTTAGGACATGAAAAACTACTCTTATTGTATAAGGAAGTGATGGAACTATCAAAGTTCTCCGATATCATCAGCGTTTGACATATGAAATCAAATGATATTAGACGATCGCAAATGATGGAGTAAATATTAACAAATTTTCTTCCAGCAATCTGAAATTCCAGACAATCTCCTTTAATAGCTTCACTTTTATAATAATTAAGCTTATCAGTAAGACGACATATGTCTTTAGAAGATAGGAAAAAGTAGTTAGAGATATAATCAATTGGGGTATCGCTTGATGATACTTTTATCATTCTATTATATCTATCTCTTTTCAAACTTATTCCTGTATTGCTGTTGTTATTATCATTTGTTTTTTATAAAAAAAAATGAATTATCATTTACTGTCAAAGAGTATTAGATTTCTCTTATTCTTGAGAAAGTAGTTTGTCATATCATTAAGCATTACAAAATCTTCAACATGATTTAGAGTATAAATATTCCAAAGTGACATATTATTCCTTTTACAATATTCTCCTTGATCATTAAAATTGCTGGCGTGTTCTTTACTGATAAAGGAATAGCAAATATTTTTTACTGGTAAACTCTTTGCATCTGGACATTCTCTAACTAGGATTATAGTTAACGAAATAGATAACGATTAGCTAGATATTATAATTTTCCTTATATACCTTTTCTCTTTAAACATTTTAATAAAAATCTCGAACGATACTTTCTTGTAAAGAGTTGAGAAGAATGAAATAAAATTTCAGCCTATTAATTGTACAATAAGTTAATATATCTACTTTTTTCTTCCTTGTGATTTTATCGCTACGCAATGAAAAATATTTGACGAATTTGATGGACAATGTAATCGTTCATAACGATATACACTTCGAATAGAATTTGCATCGAAAAATTTATATTTAACCAAAGATCTTCTAGCCTTTCTTAACAGTGTTCCGGAATTAAATCCGAAATTTGAACAGATTATCTTTACTTCTCTATATAATAACAACGAAAGTGGAGCCCAATATTCTCCATTTGAAATATATAATTGACCTTGAAAGTTGTTAAATGAATGCTTTTGGCCTAAATAAATAGATTTATATTTCGGATTAAACACTTGAAATCCAAAGTCTAGAATTAAATAACCTTTATATTTATCCATCTATCTATAAATGGTATAAGATAATCATTTTACCTGAATTGTTTGGGTGTTTATATTTATCGCAGTAAGGATCTAAAAGTCTAATTCTTGTATTGAATTTTACCGATCGTAAAATTCGGCATCCATAAGCGTGATGATTACTATTTACGCAATCTCCCAATTCGTATCTCTTTAACAAAAGTATTTTGGATTTCAATTAAGGAGAAAATACTTAGCTTACAGTGTCAATATCTTCTATAGGATAGTTAGATTCATCTGGTATCCACATCATATTGAAAAATTTACATATTGCAGTATTTATGCTAAAATTCTCTATTAGTGTACTTTCTAAGGAATAACCAATGGGAAAGAGTCCAAAAGTTTTTGAAATTGCAAAATATGTAAAGAATATAAATGAATACGAAACTTCTTTCGTATCTTTGAAGAAATTTTTTGGATTTCCAAAATTTAAATCTGATTTTTTCAGATTTCTTTACTAAATAATTTCTAATTAATTAATTAATTAATTAACCTTTAATCTGCGAATAAGAACATCTAATTTGAGTTGAA